AATTCATGAACATTCCAGAGAGTTGCATCCCAGGGTGCCTATAAGTAGTGCAATAATAGATAGAGCACAGGGCTTGGAATCAGGAAGATCTGAGTTCAAATGTGGCCTCAGGCACTTATTAGCTAAGTGACCCTGGGCAAGTCACTTAAACTTGTTTGCCTCAGTTTTCTCATCTGTAAAGTGAGCTGGAGAAGGAAATGGCAAGCCACTCCAGTATTCTTGTCAAGAAAACTCCAAATGGGGTCACAAATAATTGGACATGACTGAAAATGACAGAACAACAAGGAAAAAAAATAGAGAAAAGGGCCTTGGATTTTGGAATCAGAGGACCTGGGTTTGAATCGTAGCCCAGAGATTGCTTGCTACCTGGGTGTCCTTGGCTAATTCATATGCCCTCAATGGTCTTCATCTTCTTCTGTATAAAATGAGGGGGTTGGACTAGATGACCTGTGAGCTCTAAGTCCTATGCTTTCAGCTTTGCCTATGGACTTTGTATACTGAGGAAATAGTAGTTGAGTTAGTTACACCAATACCAATCTTTCTTGATGTGGTAAATGCTAGACTTGGAAATGAGGTTGCATTGTAATTTGTAAATGCTCAAGAGTAGGCTTTTGTCCCAGGCACAGAAGAACACTGTGTCACACCTTCATTTCAGTCTGGTATATGCATGAAATATTCTAAGTGGGGCCAAATCTGAAACACAATGCAAAATTTTCTCAAGTTGGACTGAGTTTCCAGGACCAAAAATAAATGTGCTTCCACAGCATAAACATCTCATAAACTAAACATTTGGGATTTTGCTTCTCAGTTCAAAGATTTAATGAATGTCCTATTAAGTCCTGAAAATGATAAAGAATCAGATTGGAACATAAACGATTGTTTCATATTTTCACAAGTGTTGGAAAAGAGCAGATGGCTTGTAGGGATGGCCAATTATTCAGTTTCTTCCTCTGTAAAATGAGGGGGTTGGATTCGATGATCTTTAAGGTCCCTCTAATTCCATGATCCTATAATCCCTTTTTCTTTTGTTTTTGCCTTGAAACAATTGGGAAAACCTAGTGCTTCTGGACATTAGGTCAAACTGAGTTGATCATCATAACAGTAGTGTGGTAGAAATAGCAATGAATTTGGAGTCATAGGACACAAACTCAAAATCCCAGCTCTATCACTTTTTACCTATACAACCTCAGGCTTAACCTTAGTGACTTATGCTGCCTGTGCCCCAGTTTCCTTAACTATATAAAATGAAGGGGTTAATCTAGGTGACCTCTAAATTCCCTTCTAACCTTACATCTATGATCTGTAGAGCATTTTCAGATTTATAAAACATCTTTACAACAATCCTGTGAAGTGGATGAGAAAGTTAGAACTCAGAGACATTAACTTACTTCCTCATGGTCAACTAGTATAGTAAGTGTTGAACCTTGGACATATATCCAGGTCTTCTGGCTTCAAGTAAGATGATCTTTTTACTATATGATGATTCTTTATAAAATTACGTTATACAAGAATTCATTTGTAGCCTTTAAAAGCTCTGAGAATCCTCATCTAACTCACGTTCACATTGATGAACCACATCCCCCAGAGCAAGGTCCGTCAAAGGGATTAGGAATCATTCTTCTCTAATGCTATTGGCTTGACTCACTCTTCTGTATTCTCTCCAGTATTAACTCTCTGCCATCATTTAGTCAATTCATCTTTACAAAGGGCAATTTACTGAGAATAGGAAATTACAAAACATTTTCCCCAAACCAGGAGGGTCACACTCTCCCACCTATGTATTCATTTCCTGGGAATAATGGGTTTACACTTGAAGCAGTTGCTACAAAGCCTTCACCCCACCAAATTCATTTCCATGTGTCATAGCAACAGGATGAGTCCACATCTCAGTTACCACTGGGCTGGGTCAAGTTGCTTTTCATGGCTTCTACTGCTGCCCTACCCATGCTCGACCTTGGCATGGATTCTAGCTCCTGGATTTCTGGTGCTAAAGGTTCTGACCTTTCAAAACTCACAAGGTCTTAGCCATCTTCAATTTTCCACCTAAAAACATGAAAGAACAAACACAGAGAGGCAAACATGGGCCACATGTTTGACCCTATCTCTAAATCCAGAGGCTTACAAGATGTCTTTCTAAATGAGCAAACCCAGGAAAGAAAGAGAAGCCAACCCTGACTGGTTAGTAACTTTTGGATGCATTCCTAGTTTTTGCTCAGCAATCAATAAAAAGTCCATTTCTTCACTTATGGTAAACAGGCCAGAAAACAGTCATAGCTGCACATGTTCTAAGGTCTATGTGGGCATTGTGATAGCTAAACATACTGTACATGCTCAAAAGGACCAGGCTATCACTCCATTACACATCCACTTGTATTATATACAAATAATTCAAATATCATTTTGAATAATTTCTTCCCACTGTAATTAACATTTACAAAGTATTTTAGGGACAAAGCAAGGGTAAAACACTGTAAATGGTTAAGTATGGTCTGTCTCTCCTTGTGGGTAGGTAACTCTGTTATGCCAAAGTCATGTGACTGGGGCTCAGCAAAATATAGACAATTCAGAAAAGAGGCAGTCTTCTCAGCAGATAGAGACTTGACATTGAAAGAGAGCTTGCCATTTCCCTAAACTTTAGCTCAGGAATAATGCTAGGTAAGCATTGGACTGACCCAACCCCTGATCTGACTTGTTGAATGAGATCAGGTTAGTGGATAGCAGTGCCATCTAGTGGTTAGATAATCAAATACTGTAGCAAAATAAGGGACAAGAATACATACAAGTTACAGGGTTACACACCCAGTAGGTGTGAGTACATAAACAGGCATACAATGACATGGATAACATTCATGGAGGGGTATAGATTTTGGAAACAAATGTGGTCAGGGAACACTAGTGAAGGGCCACACATGTAGGGACCATATGTGTCTGGGCAACTTATATCCCTGATAGGGCAGGGCCACGGATCTTTGGAAATTTCTTTCTCTCTCTCTCTCTCTCTTTTTTTTTTTTTCTAGCAGGGCAAGCTATTGCTTCCTCTTTAAGCTGAGGTCCTTTGGTTTCACTCTGCCATACTGTTCTATGAAGAGTAACTTGGTTATGCTGTTTTTTAAAGCTCTTGCTGAGCTTTTCTACTGCTTCTCTTTGGCACAATCAGGCAGCTTGCAACTATATGGAGTGCAACATCTTCCCCCAGAAGGGTATAGGACAGCCAGCTTATATTTTAGAGGCTATCTCTAGCTATTTAGTGATTTAGACCCAGCCACCTAACTAGTCTTGTCATCTAAAAAACCAAACACAATTTATCTTTTTAGCTACCTACCCTTTGAGCCTCTCAGTCTAACTCATCTGAATTAAGGCTAGAAAATTATTCTCAATTCCCATCATATTGTTTCTGAAAATGATTATGAGGTACCCATTGAAGATGTGGCCATGGGGCTTTTCTTTGATTTCTGCTTCTGGCTTTAGCTGAAATCCTTGGCTATAATGTTGTCTCCTCATCATAGGAAGAGTGGGCTCTGTTAAGATTTTTTGATTCAAAAGATCTTTTAGACAGATACCACCCTTATTTCAACTGTAGGAAACTTCTCAGTTTTCCCCCCTTTGTATAGTGTCACGTCCATTTTTCCCATAGTCTTGATCAGAAGGCTTGGTCAGAGCAAGAAGAAGATTCTTTGCTCTGGGTAACAAGCTCCTTAGGACAAAGAACAGAGTCCTGACAGATAAATAATGCCCTCAAGATTAATCTTTTCTTTGGATTGAATTTCCTAGTTGTTAAATGTTTGTCTCTGTGGTTGACCTTACTCTAGTTTATAGTGAATGTTCTGTATAACTTTCATTTTAATATCTGAAATCTAATCTACACTTGGTTGTCATTCATGTAAGGGCAATTTGGTATTTATCCAGCAAATATCAAACAACTCTGATATTCCAGGCACCCCAATGTTTTCATTGCCAAGTCCCTTCCCCTCTTCCAAGTAGGTGAATAGGTAAAAGAAAGCCATGGGGTCAAAGTTCAACCCAGAGGGCTTAGTCACATTCCAAGTCTTTCTTAGGCATATATGGCCAGCTGAATCCTAAAGAGACTTTGAGCTCACACTTAGATCACTTAATATGTAATGATGTGCATTAGTTTGTGTCTCATCCCCTTATTGGAAGGAAAACTCTTTGAAGGTAGGATTTGTGTCATACCTTGTATTTTCCCAAGCAAGAAGCACAGGGCTTTGTACCTGATAGATGATTGAGAAACATTATCAATCAATTAATAGACATTTATTCAGCACCTACTATGTGCCAGGCACTGTGCTAAACACTGTCCATACAAAAAAAGGTGAAAGTTTCTGCCCTAAAGGAGCTTACAATTTATTGGGGAGATATCATGGAAACAAATATATACAAAGCAAGCTATATACAGGATAAATAGGAGATAATAAAGAGAGGGAAGGCATTGGAATTAAGAGGGATAGAGGGCAGAATGGGGTTGGGGCAGCTAGGTGGTGCAGTGGATAGAGCACCAGCCCTAAAGTCAGGAGGACCTGAGTTCAAATCTAGCCTCAGATACTTAACTAGTCGTGTGACCTCTCAACCCTGACTGTCTCAAAAAAAAAAAAAGAAGAAGAGGGACTGGGGAAGGCTTCCTGTAGAAGGTATGGTTTTAACTGGGATTCAAAGGAAGCCAGGTAGGTCAGTAGTTGGAGTGGAAGTGGGAGAGTGTTTTAGATATGGAGGACAAACAGAGAATATGCTTGCAGTGAAGACATTGAGTATCTTTTTTTTTTTTTTTGTGGTCAGGAGGCCAGTATCACTGGATCAGTGTATGGTAAGAAATAAGATGTAATAAGTCTGGAGAGGTAGGAAAGAGGTAGGTTATAAAGGACTTTGAATGCCAAATGGAACATTTTGTATTTGATCCTAGAGGCAATAGGAAGCACTGGAGTTTATTGAGTGGGAGAATGGTGTAACATGATTGGACCTGTGTGTTTGAAAAATCACTTTAGTGACTGAAAGGAGGATGGATTGGAGTGGGGAGAGACTTGAGGCAGACATATTTACCAGAAGGCTATTGAAATAATCCAGGTATCAGGGGATCAGGGCCTGCACTGGAGTGTGGCACTGTCAGGAGAGAAGGGAGTGTATTTGAGAGATATTGCAAAGGTGAAAATGACAGGCCTTGGAAACGGATTGGATATAGGAGTGGGGTGAGAGATAGTGAGAAATTGAGGAAAATGTAAGTTGTGAACCTGAGGGACTGGGAAGATTGTGTTGGCCTCTACAGTCAAAAAAAAGTTAGGAGGGGCAGAGGTTTTGGGGGGTAAAGGTAATGAGTTCTGTTTTGGACATATTGAGTTCCAGATGTCTACTGAACCAGTCGTCTGAGATATCTGAAAGGCATTTGGGGATGAGATTGCAGGTCACCAGACAGTTTAGGGTAAGTTAGATTTGAGAATCATCAGCACAGAGATGTTCATTAAATCCATGGGAACTGATGAGATCACTAAGAGAAGTAATACAGAGGGAGAAAAGAAGAGAGCCCAGGACAGAACCTTCATGGAAACCTATGGTTAGAGGGAGTGATTTGGAAGAAGATCCTGCAAAGGAGAAAAAAAGGACCCAAGACATATCCCTATAGGGCACCCACAATTAATGACTTAATTAGCATGATATGGATAAAGATCAGCAAAGAATAAGTGGTTAGATAGGTAGGAGGAGAAACAGGAAAGAGTAGTATCATAAAAGCCTAGTGAAAAGAGAATAACAAAGAGTAGAGGGAAATTTAAATGTCTAATTCTACAGAGGGGTCAAGAAGAATGAGGACTGAGAAAATGCCATTGGATTTGGTCATTAAGATATTATCAGTAAATTTGGAGAGAGTAGATTTAATATAAAAGCAAAGTTGTTACCCACAGAACAGGGATTCTAGAGAGTATAGAGGAGAGGGTTGGTAGCTTTAGATTGTTATGTGGTGGGGGTGTTGGTTTGAGGGGAATGGAAATAATGAATCAGGCAGCAGAGGATGGAGAACTAGATTTGAATGATGACAGCAATAGAGATCAAAATCACCAGCTTAGGGAGAGTATGGCTAGGAGGTAGTTGTTAGTCATTGAGAAATAAGTTCATTGTCCATAAGGGTTTGGCCTCAGGGTGGAGTTTTCTCAGGGCCAGTTAGTTTGGATGAAGGCACAACTGGTGGGAGCTGAAAGGATGGTATTACTTTCTTTCCTTCATGGCAGGAGATCAATCTGGGGACTTGATTGAATGGCTCTTCTCTTCTTCTCTGAAAGGAAGAAGTCAGATGCTCAATGAAATGACATTTCTCCTCTTCCCTTGGGAGGTTGGAAACCAGGTAGAAGACCTGGTATGATGAAATGGTGTTCTCTTCTTTTAGCTCAAAGGTAGGAGGAGGCTGGTGCATGATGGAATAGGTTCATCCTTTTTCCAAGAGACGTGGGAGAACAGGCAGAAAACCTGGCATGACAGAATTATGCTCTTAATCTTTTCTTCATTATCTTTTTCCCCCAATTTCTCCCCTCTGTCAAACTTTCCAGTTACTGTTGACAGTATCACCATCCTCCTAGTCACCTTGACTTTAAAACTAGATGTCCTACTCAACTTCTCATTTTTGTTCACCACATACAGACAGTCTGCTGCCACGTCTTGTTCTTTATTTTCACAATGTCTCTCTTGTTGGGGGCCATCATCAGTCATCCTGACCTAAGTCTTGCCACTGGACTTCAATGACTCTGGAGGAGAGAGTGAGGCTGATGACTTTGCACAGCCCAGTCTCACTTAAATCCAATGCACTTGCAATTCAAGACCTCCCTCTCCTGATGTCATTGGTCCTCTTTGAGAACGAAGAATGAACAACAACAACATCTCTCTGGTTGGTCCCCTTTTCTTCTCTCACCCAGCCATCACCTTGGTGCAGGTTTTCAACATTTCACTCCTGGACTATTACAATAGCATGTTCATTGAACTCCCTTCCTCAAGCCTCTCCCCACTCCATCTAGCCTCCACTCGGTTTCCAAAGTGATTTTCTTAAAGTCTGACCACATCACACTTTACTCAGTAAACTCAGTTAGTTTTCCATATTATTTCCAAGCATAAAATATAAAATCCTCTATAGAGCTCTTAAAGGCCTTCACAATCTGCCCCTTTCCTACCTTTCCAGTCTTCTTACATTTTTTTCCCTTTCACATATTTTATAATCCAGAGATATTGCTTTTCTGGTTTTTCCTCAAACAGGATGTTCTATTGTCTGTCTTTGTGCCTTTCCATTGACTGTTCACCATGCCTGAAATATTCTATCTCTGCCCCCACCCCTTTGCCTATTGGCTTCCTTGGCTTCCTCCTCTGGATAAGGGTTAGACTAGATGATTTCTAGGGTCCCTTCCAGCTCTTAAATTTTAAGGTTAATGATAATACCTCCTATCTATAGAGGCCTTTTTTAGCCACAACAACCAAGAAAGACTAGCTGTTACAGCAGAAGTTGTAATTTGTGCCAGTGGTGGGAAAATGCACAGCAATGGAGTCATAACTCCTTTGTAGAATTGCAGACTTAGATTGTAAGCTCCTTGAGGGAAGGGATTGTCTTTTGTCTCTTTTTGTGTCTCTAGTGCTAAGCACAGTACTTGACACACAGTAGGCTTAATAAATGTTTGTTGATTGATTGAAGTATTATGGTATTTAAACAGTCCTTTCTGGTTTGCCAAACACTTTCTTCACAAGAAATCTGTGAGGTTTTTAGTGCAAGTGTTGTTAGTATCATTTTACATATGGGGAGATTGAGGCCTTTGGAGTTTAGGTGACTTGCACAAAGTCACGTGACCAGGGGGTTTTGAAGTCAGGCCACAATTCAGGTTTTTTAACTTGATGGCCATTTCTCTTGCTACTACACAACACTGATTCTAACTTACACACTGATAAGGCTGTCTGCTAGGGACAGAGTACACTAAGTTCCACCCTCACATCCTTTATTTTCCATCCCACAAACTGTGCTGAAGCTGTGTAGCATGGTGGGAAGAGTACTAGATTTTCAGTTAGAGAATTTTTTTTTCAAATCCTGACTCTGACATCATTGCCTACATGACCTTGAGTAAGGAACTTAACCTTTCTGCAACTCAAATCTCTTATCTATAGAATGATGGGGTTGGATTTAGAAAAACCTAAAGTCCCTACCATCTTTAAATCTATGGTCATGGGAGCTTGAGAGTAAATGTGAACCTCCTGATGTCCCAGGCAGCAAGGTGGCCCAATGTATAGAGAACTGGATTCAAAACCAGAAGAATCTGAGTTCATATTTAATCCCAGACACTTCCTAACTGTGTGACCTTGGGCAAGTCACTTAGCCTCTCTGCCTTGGTTTCTTCATTTGTAAAAGGGAGTAATAAGAGTACCTACTTTATAAGGTTGGCATGAGAATCAAATGAGATAATATATGTAAAACACTTGGCACACTTTAAAGTTCTATATAAAACTAGTTATTATTTTCTATTAGAAAAGAGAAAGGAATAAATATTTCGTAAGTGCTATCATGTGCCACGCATTGTGCTAAGAGCTTTACAAATATTTATCTTATTTGATCTTTACCTCAGTCCTTTGAAGTAGGTGCTTTAATTATCTCTATTTGATAGTTGAGGAAACTGAGGCAAAGAGAGATTAGTGACTTGTCAAGGATTACAGTTAGTAAGTATCTGAGGCTGGATTTGAACTCAGGTCTTCCTGACTCCCAGACCAGCACTCTCCACTGTGCCATCTAGCTGCATCGTATCATCTGTCTTTGAGTGAAAGTCCTCATGCCCTTCTTCTCCAAATTACCTTACAAATAAGTCATTATTGTTTAGCTGTTTTTCAATTGTGTTCGACTTTTCATGACCCCATTTGGGTAGATACTGGAGTGGTTTGCCATTTCCTTCTCCAGCTAATTTTACAAATGAGGAAACTGAGGTAAACAGAATTAAGTGATTTGGCCAGGGTCACACAGCTAGTGTCTGAGGTCAGATTTGAACTCAGATTTTCCTGACTCTGGACCCAGCACTCTACTCACTGTGCCATCTAGCTACACACATACACACACACACACACACACACACACACACACACACATATACACTGATAAATAGATGATAGATTGATTAATAGACAAGACAGATAAATGATAGATAGGTATATAGGCTCCCTCAATAGAAATATAAGGTCCTTGAAGGCAGGGACTATTTCATTTCTATCTTAGTATCCCTAGCTCTCTACATAGTGTCTGGCATATAGTAGGCCCTCAATAAATGCTTATTGATTTATTGGTTGTTTTAAGATAGAGCAAGGAGTAAGGTTTTAGATGTTCAAGGAAGAAGGCTTTTCCCTCAGGAAAACGATGTCTATATATTTACCTTTCCATCAATCTTGTCAGCTTTAGGGCTCTTCTCCTCTCCACCCCCCCCCCCCCCCCCCTTTTTAATAGCAGCTGAAAGGCAAAATCAGGTCCCGCTTCAAAAGCTACTAAAATCTGCTGTGTGGGCAGCAAGCTTTCTGATATGGAAATGAGGCACCCTTAACAGCCACCCACACTCCAGCCCAATTTTCACTCAAGAGTCGCTATTAAAAAAGCTGACTCAAAACCATCAGGGAACTTCAGATTTAACTTCTGAAAATTTCAAATACATGGAGATAAAAATACTCAAGTCAAAGGCATAAGACACAGATACTAAAGGGCAGATGCTGAGCTGTTCCAGGTTTCCTAACCCTTAACATTTTCCCATAGGAAGCTTAGTTCACTTAGATATTCCAAGGGATGCACAAGTCCTAACAATGAATTTTATGGATACTTGGGTTTACACATCCAACTGGTTTTGAGACAGTTTGTTCCAATTATGTGGAATAAGAATGATAAACATGTCAGTCAAGAAGAAACCATGTGTGTGCAGTGTAGGGGCATATTTTGTTTCTAATTCTTTCACACTGACCCTGGAAGAATTAAATTCTATCTTGTTTCTAAGGATTAGAGATTTGGACCTGGCAGCAAACGGAGACAACATCTAGCCCAGTCCCCTCATTTTACAGATGTCGTAGTTAAGTCTCAGAGAAATTTAATGACTCGGCCAGATCCCTTTGACGATAAGCAGTAAAGCCAATGGGAGCTCAGGTATTCTGATGTCATGGGCAGCTAGGTGGCAACATGCACAGAACACTGGATTTGGAGCCAGAAAAACCTGAGCTCTATCTAACCTTAGACACTTCCTAACTGTGTGGCCCTGGGCAAGTCACTTAAGACACTCCTGTGACTTCTCATTAACAGGATTTTAGAATTTCAGAAGGGATTTGAACAGTCATCTAGTCCAACCTATTCTGAAAAATAAAAACATAACAAAAACCCAAATTTCTCTATAATGTGCCTGACAAGTGGTCAACTAGCCTTTGTTTTAAAGACCTCTAAGTCATTCAATCAGCCAACAAGCACTTATTACTTGCTCACAACAAGCTTTTATTACCTTGTACCCCGAGTGCTTAGCACAGCATATAGCTCTTACTACGTGTCAGGAAGAGTGTTAAGCACTGAGGGTACTAAGAAAGGTTCTCTGACTTTAGGAGTTCATATTCTAAATGGGGAGACAATGTACAAATAACTATGTAAATGAAAGATTAGATGGTAGGTAATGTCAGAGGGAAGACACTGTATAAGTAGGGGAATGGGCAGGAGGAATGTCTGCCATATAAAATGGGATTTGAGTTAAGTCTTGAAGGGGAGCTCAATACCACCTGAGTCAGTCCATTCACTTTTGGATAGTTCAAATTATAAAGAAGATTTTCCTTAAATCAAATCAAGTTTTTTCGCTTTGGACCTTTTGCCCATTGTTCCTATTTCTATCCTCTGCCTGGAATTCTGGATATGGAATTTTCTTCACATGAAGCATATTTTCTTTAAGTTCTGACAACCAGTTTGGTGAATAGCTATAATTCATATATCTAAGCCTTCATGCTTAGGCATAAAGAGGGAGCCCACTTGAGGAAAGATAAATATTTTGAATGGGATCCTATAGATCACTATTATTGACACCATGTTTTCCATGGGAACCATAAATACTGAACATTTCCAGCATGTATCATTCAACAGTTCATCACTAGGATGTTGGCTTTTAACAGAACAAAATAAGTGTTTTGTGGTGATCACTTGGACAAAGCGGCCAGCAGTCGCATGTTCCCTTTGCAGGAGTTGAAAAAGGTAGTCCTGGGAGGCAAGGGTACCTACCTTCATCCATTGGCAGCTTGGAGGTACAGTCTAGGAGTATAGGATGTGGTGGTGGCAAGGAAAATTAATTCTGAAATCTGAAACAGAGGTGAGCAATCTGGGTCAAGATACCAGGGAAATCCAGTCACTGGGCAGGGGGGGGGAGGGAGAAATGAGCAGAGGCTAGAGAGTCAGGATTGAGCAAGCCATATAGGAACAGAATGCTCATGTGACTGACAACGCATTCTGCGTTTTATGTATCATGTTGCAAGAGTATGCGTACTTAGCTATTTTAGTGGTCTTAGGATTTAGTTATAAGGGAACCTTAGATGTTATATGTTTTGGTCCTGAGCTATCTAGATGGTTCAGCAAGTGAAAACTCAATTTATCTTCCATATCTATCTGGCACCATGCCATGCTTCATGTGTATCCAGTAGAAAGTCATAGACTAATCAGCATGGGCTCTTAACATAAACTCTGCTGCTGTAGCCTCTTCATCAGAAAAAGTAATTCTCCTGCTCAAGACTTTTAAAACATTGAAATATATATAGAGATATATAGATATAAATATATATATCTATATATATATATCATTCTATACATACCTTTATTTATCAATTCTATCAATGGCTGCAGATAGCATCTTCCTTCATAGGTCTTTTGTAGCTAATTTGGGTATTTATCATAGGCAAAATGACTTAGTTGCTCATAGTTGCTTTTTAAAACAGTATTGCTGTTACTGTATACAATGTTCTCTTGGTTCTGCTCATTTCACTCTTCATTATTTCATGCAAATCTAGCCATGTTTTTCTACAATCAACAAGCTCATCATTTCTTTTTTTTTTTTTAGCCAAAGACAAGGTTTATTGAAGATCCACCATATTAGCTAGACTCTTAAAGAATCTGAGCATCTAGTGCTCATCGTTTCTTATAGCATAGTAGTATTACATCACAATCATATACTACAACTTGTTCAGCCATTCCCTAGTTGATGGGCGTCCCCACAATTCCTAGTTCTTGTCACCACCAACAGAGCTGCTATAAATATTTTAGAACACATTGATTTTTTTCCTTTTTTCCCTAATCATCTTTGAAAATAGAATTTCTAGAGACCTTGTATAACCTAGGGGAATTAATCCACTCAGCTTGAGTATTTTACCCTGTGACTGAGCATCCCAAACTGGTTGGTGAGTCAAAACTCAACTGCCTTACCATAGCTAGCTAGTTCCAGACATTGCTTCACATCCTATCTATTAAGAAACCAGGGGCTACTCAGCATGTCACCTCTTTCTTTTGCTACTAGAAAAAGGAATCAGATCAATACTACCATAATAGATATGCTCATTTGGGTTGTCTAAATATATTGACAATTTGTGTGCAGTATTGATACAGGTGATCCGAGGTCTGGCCTGCTTCTGAAAGAGAGGAATGGATCAGAGGGATGTGTCTGAGGTCTGTATCAGAGGTCTGAGGTCAAGAGGCATGAAGACCCCAGGAGCACTTCGGGGCTTGACACTCAGTTCTGTAGTCTCCTAGAAGGGTTTTGAAATAGTGTTACATCTATCTGCCTTCTTCAAATATAGTTATCTTAAGGAATGATCAGTTCAGAACAAAAATCACTTTCCTTATTGCTCTTAAGGGAAATGGTAGCCCTTAGCTTATTTACATTTGTTGTCTTGACTACTTCTTACCAAATGCTAGTTGCACTAAAGATCATCATAAGTCGTTATTCCTATCTATCCAAGAAAAACATCAAATAGAAATTGCAGAATTTATACAAATTAGAATATACTGAAGAATACAAGAATGAATGAGCTCTTCAACTGGAAATGAAATAAGATCTCAACTCAAACCAGGAAAGAGAGCCTGATTTTACCAAAGGTGAAATCTATTTTCTTCATTCTCTAAGGAATGGAAATCAGAAATGTTGAAGAGTCGGCTTCCTATACATGTCTGCAGCCTTTCATTCCATGTGTATTTTTCTAAGAATGTCTCTGGTACTAATTCAATAATTTCCTTACTCAGATCATAAGTATTGCATTCAGCATTCTGTCCACCAGTCATGACTCACATCATTGTCTGCAGCAGCAGGCAAACTCCCCCAAGCTTGAGTGGAAGCAAGGTTATGATACCATTGCTATGGGCAAGTTTGTGACAAACAACTACCCTATGGCTTCACTCACAAACCTTGCGACTTCCCAGGCCAGAACTCTCTGCCTTCTGTGCTCCTTGAAAGCAGAGATTATCCCACTTTTGTATTTGTATTTGTATTTTAGTGACAAGGTCAGTACCTGTCACATAGCAGACACTTAATAAATGCTTACTCAATCATTAATTTATTGATTTATAGTTCAACCCCCCTTTTACAGTTAAGGAAACTGAAGCCAAGAGAGATATGGTTTTATTAATGGAAATGACACTAAAGAAGATGTATTACTATTTGCTTAACCACAGTATTCTAAGGACTATTGGGTCTCTCTATCTGACTTGTAGTTGAAACCTTGTGTGTTTGTATGTGTGTGTGTGTGTGTGTGTGTGTGTGTGTGTGTGTGTAAGTGTGTGGTTTCCTCCTATTAGTATGTAAGCTCCTTGAGAGCAGAGATTATATTACTTTTCTATTTGTATCCCTAGCACTTAGCATAGTGCTTTGTACACAGCAAATACTCAATGAACTCTTTCTCATTCATTTATTTACAGAATGCTTTGCCCAAAGTTGCATGGAGAATTAATAGCAAACCTGGGACAGAGCCAGTTTTCTAAGCCCACTTTCAGGGATCTCTTCACTGCACCACACTACCTTTCTGCATATTCGTGTGAAAGATTCAGCAGTGAAAGTGCTCAACAAATGCTTTGGGACCAGATGAGACTAGGTCAATCAATATCATCCATACTGAGTGGCTATCACATGCTCAGCACTGATTAGGCATAGTAAAGAAGCAGAGATAAGTATGGATGAGACATATTTATCTTGAAGACCTTGTGATCTCTTTGGGAATACAAGATATATGTAATTAAAAGCCAAAGAAATGGTATAGATAATTAGTATCATAAGAGTTCAGAGGCAGTTATAGCAGGTCAGCAAATTTTAATTCTAAGAATTCTTAGTTTATGGGTTGTACAAAAACATATAGAAGTTTGGATTTGGTCCATGGACCATAGTTTGTAGTTGCATGTATGATGTTATTTCCTCAAATAAGACTTAGATTGCTACCCAAAGGTGGTGATGAGATGAAAAACACATCTCTTTGTATCCTTTTTATGTGAATGTTCTTTCAATGGTTTGAATTCTATTCTATTGATAGACCCCATAATTAGATTAGAGGTATTCCCCATGAATATTACTACTATTCTTTGAGACATAGAGCTGGACTAATGCATCAAGCTAAAGAGTATGAATTTCATTAATGAGACACTGGAGTGTAATTAAAGTCTTTTGAACAGTGCAATGATATGATCAGAAGTATACATTAGAAAAATTCATCTGGCTACACTTAGAAGGAAGGATTTAGAAAAGTATGTGTCTGACTGCAGACAATCCTAATTTGGAAGTAACTGGGATAGTCCAATAATGCCTTACTTAGAGGTTGAACCAGGGTAGTGGCAAAAGAAATAAGAAAGATATCATAGAGGTTTTGTCGTTCAGTCGAGTCTGACTCTTCATGACCCCACTAGGGGTTTTCTTGGCAAGCATACAGGAGTGGTTTGCCATTTCCTTCTCTAGCTCATTTTACAGATGAGGAAACTGAGGCAAACAGGTTAAGTGACAGGGTTACACAGCTAGTAAGTTCCTGAAGCTGGATTTGAACTCAGGAAGATGAGTCTTTCTGATTCCAGGCTCAGAAATCTATCTATTGTGCCACCTAGCTGCTCATATCACAGAACTCATATCACAGAAGCTCAAAGTTCTAAAGCTGTTTCAATACTCTTTGCACAAATGATCCACAGCTAGGTACCAGTTCATCTTCAGGCAAAGTTAACTCAAGTTGCTTCAGGTCTGCTTTATTCCTTGTTGGCTCACAACAGCCCCAGTTAGTGGTGTGGATATGTGGTGGTTTACTCAAGCCTGCCAGTTTCCCCAGTATCCTGGCCCCTAACACTTTTGTACTCAGAAGCCAATCATATATAATTTAAGAAATAGATCCTTCTAAACTAAGAGATTTGGAAACACTGATGTAAAATCCTGAGTCCACTATTGATTCTATATGTACAACCCTTTATTCTATCTCTACAAACATGCATAGTCATGATGCAATGATCACAAGATATTTTTAATTATTAAAAGTTGACATTGAAGATGAATTCAGTCAACTGAACTTGCTTAGAAACTATTTGCATTCAGATTAACTTCCACACATAAATAATCTTAACAGTATTTTAGTCACTCCTTCCAAGTCCTCAGAATTCTTTGTCTTTTAATGAAATGGAAGATTTCTGAGCATTTTTAATGAAAAAACCAGGGCCACATAGACATTTTGAAGTGCAAGTGTAAGAATCAAGAGAAATATAAAAAAGGTAAACATGAATAAACAATCATAAGGGACTAAACAAAGATAAAATGCTTACATTCTAATTTGAGGAGATAATAAATGTATCCCCTCTGAACCCTATAATCATTAGTGGTCATAGAAGGTTTCTGATTAGGAAGAAGACCTGGGAGTTATTTATCTTGATAATCTTAAAAGAAGAAGGGAAAGGGAATATACTAAAGGTGGGGAAAGAGAAAAAAGGGAAAAGTATCTCACACAATTGGGGTATGCAAGTAGAAGTCTATACAAACAGTGAGGAAAGGGGTTGGAGAACAACTGATACTTGAATCTCATTTCCTTTGAATTTATCAAAGGAGGGAAGAATATACACACCTGTACATACACAGTTGGGTACAGAAATACATTTCAGTAAACAAGGAAATAGGGGGGAAAGGGGAGAAGGGAGAAGGGGAAATTAGAGGGAGGGTAGGTTAAGGGAGGGATTAGTCCTAAGAAAAACAAATTCTAAGGATGTACAAAAATATTTGTATCCCTTGTAATGGCAAAGAATTAGAAACCAAGGGAGATGCCCATCAGTTAGGAAAGACTGAGCAAGCTATGGCATATAAATG